AGGTACAGCACACTGCGTAATATCAAGACATGTTGGCCATGTTTGGTTTGTAAGCGTAGAAAGGTACAGCAGTCCGCCATTACGAGACGAAACTAGAAAACGTTACGTAAGAGGTGTGTATTCATGTTTTTGAGGTAAAATTTAAAGACTGTTTAAAATATTTTTGAGTTGAAAAGGGAGAGAAGAGTATGAAAAATAGTTGTGTATAAATTTTATGTCTCGAAATGTGTTAGTAATGGTGTTCATCATGGTAAGGCGTTACGTGTGGGAACATTTCGGTGAATGGTCTTGCATTGAAAGTAAATACAAACGAGTTGACTCTGATCTTGACTGGCGTTTTTATATTCATGCATTGTGTGCGAAATAACATGTCAAGAATGTGTAAAGAAAGTGATAATTTTGTCTTAAAGATAAAAGGAAGGTCTGTGTAAGTGTCCTGAAACTGCGTAAACTTGGGTACGTTTACAAATTGTTTTTACTTAAAAAAACGTGATTCCTCCACCAGCAAGCTGTTTGTTCAACGATTTTTCTGTTTCAACTTGTAAGTTATGATTTACAATGCTAGTTCATGGTCATCTTGTAGATCTGGTTATTTTCCAGCGCCTAAATAAAATGGTTTTATTTGCATGTGAGTATTGTGTTACAGAGCAGTTAGGGATAGTTTCTGTCTACATTTGTAAGAATTAAATGCTTTTCCCACAGTTGATTGCTTAGTTAGGAGCTGAGCCCTTCTTGAGAAGCCAAATCTGCAGCTACTCAAGAATTTCCCAGCATTTTATGGAACCCAAAGGTTCATTACCTTGTTCATAAGAACCCTCCACTGCTCCCTGTCCTGAGCCAGATCAATCCAATCCATCCCATTCCATATATCAAGAATAAAAATATATTAACTTATGATTCCATTCTTTAATTTTAAACAATACCTAACAGTTGCATATGCAAAGTTTGGAATTCTATGGTAATAAGCAGTGGACCTTGTTCTTCCACAGAGACGAGAACAGCTGCCACAGAGTGTGGGAGTTTTTCTGTGTCTGGACATGAGATGATGACGAGGGAATGTGATCAAGAGCTGAGATAATGAGATATACAGGTAGGTCGTCTTATGCAGTTGGCCAAAGATATCTGCAGTGGTACGATTTGTTGTTACCTACTTGCAACAGATCATATTTCTTAGGTGATTGTGTTTAATTTTACCATCATGATGAAGACATACCTGTTTAAACTAATGTCATATACAAAATTTGTGTTCCATTTCTGTATTTCAATAAATCAAGTACTAATGAAGTCCCCCCCAGTTCCCTCAATCATATCCAGAGGCCCCACATCATACTAGCCCATTTTGCTGCATTTGTCTACAAAAAATTGTTTTTTTCTTAATAATTCATTTTATGAATTAAAATTCTTTTTTGGATACATGTACCATGCAATTTAATGTACGATTATTTGTATTTACTTGCACTAAAGTTGTCAACTTGTAAGACATATAAGTATATATTCTCTAAGTTGAGTATAAATGTATTCATTCCTACAGGAAATTTGTGTCATTTCTCCAGATTTTGCATTAAAACTTAAGTACAATTTTTTATGTATAAAGAATATAAATGTGTTAATTTTTAGTGAAAGTAAATTCTTCAGTTTTCTTTCTTCTTAATTTTAACTTGAAAGATTCAAGCAGCTGGTATTTTACCCCACAGAGTGTAAGTCTATCCATTTTGACAGAAATATTGTTTCAAAATTTGGACAAGTTGACTCCTAGATTGCAGCACTCTTACATAGTTCTTGCCTGTCCTGATACCCTCTGTTCCTACAGTGTCCATTCTCATACTTTTCACAGAAACCTGGAAGGTGTTCACTCGGATGCTGTGCCGGGATGCCTGAAGACTGTGCCGTAGTTCCGGTTGCAGGTAAGGATTCAAGATTATCTGCATCATCCACAGTTGTGCACAACAGTCTTCAGATGCAAAATTTGCAGCTGTAGCTGTATCTGATGTAATGAGGCAGAGTGGGATAGATATTGTAGGAGTTTTCTAATCCTGGAGCCTGCCTAAATTGTTGCATCATGGCACCTCTGTTACAAAGAGCTATCAGTTAATGTCTTTTTATTGTGAGAAGAATGTGAAGCAAATACTCTACAGGGAAAGTGCAAGAGACATTAGATAATCCATTAGGAGGTACAAATACAAGTAGTAACCACTGCATTGTAAAGAGTTTAACATACATTCTGTGACACAATGCAGTTAATTTTTGAAGTAAAAAAGTGAGCCCTCCAGTTCCATGAGAGAGTTGTCATGGTACAGTAAAATTGTGTTATCATTGCATACAGAAGACAACATATGTTAAGGGAGCAGTGAATTAGGTACTTTTACTCATAACTTTTAACGTATTGAGTAATTTGTAAATTTTAAAGAAAGAAGAGACATTATTAGCTTGAATGTATCATTACACCTTCCAAGGTAGGAACATGAAGGGAATTATGTACTTAAGCTTGTTTCTTTTTATCACAGGTAATACAGTGTATAGAATTTGCATATGTCCTTTTCATTTTTCTTTATGTGTGCTGGTGAAGATCACAGTCTTCCAGGATGTGATTCCATGTAGTTTGCAATGAAAGGACCAACATTTCAGATGAACCTGGTGTGTCTATTTTCCCTTTGTACACTTAAGATTTAGGCAACAAGAGTATACCAGACAACATGGTGTCACATTCCACAAGACTAATTTTTATATTCACAGCAATGAGAGCCTCAAATTCTCAATATTTTTTGAGAGCATATTACAGTGTAACATGTTCTGTCTACTGAAGACTTTTCCAGATTGTTAATCGGTTTTATTAACAACCTATAAGTCTTAATTACAATTAATTATAATACTGTTGTGGGTTTACACAATTTACAAACCCTAAACACTAATCTCTTCACATTATCTTCAGCAGTCTTCACTTATTTACAGTATAACACGGGAGCTATACAAGTGTGACTGAATTACACGCTCCAAATACCTTCTCAGCTATTACAAACTATCACTGATTATCACACATAAAATCTTATAATCACGCGTTCAGTTCTTCCCGTGACTGACTGACTGACTTCTGTTCTGCTGAATACTAACTGCTCCTTAGTCGAGTTAAAACCACATTGCGTTTACAGAGGCGTTGCTTCATAATGCTGCCAAGAGTTTTTTTATTGCTGCATAGTGATCAGTGTGGTTCAGCATGGCATGGAGAAACCACTTTATTTCCTGTTGCGTAACTTGGCAACCGTCTGTTTTGATGGAAACTCTTCCCACATCATGTTGCGCAACAATGGTTTGACGTGTCACAATATCTTGTACCGTAATGACTGTTAGAGACAGTTAACAGGAACCCTTTTCTCACTTACTTTAAGATTTGATTGCTTTTCTCAGTTCAAGGAACATAAATGTATTAATTTTTATGAAAATACAATTCCTTCTCCCTCTCTCTAACATTTAACAAGAAATTAACCACATATATAACCTGTTAAACTGACTGCCATGAAATGCATGTATTTCGGTCTTAATCTATATAAAATCCTTTGACTGTTGTGCTAAATTCTGAGGCAAGGTACAATGTTCTTTAGTCTCCTCATTTTTGTGACATCCTGAAAGAGCAGCCAGTTAATGTCTTACTGACACACATGTACACTCCCCTCCCCACAGTATTAATCCCAGATTTTATATGGTAAATGAAGTTAACTCATATGAATATGTATGTGAGTTTTGAATGATCACTCAAAATCTAAATACGTGTATACAAGAAAAATTATAATCAGAATATCTAAATTGTATGTAAAACTGTTACTGTATTTGTGAGATTTGAGGCTCTAACAGAAGTGACTGTAAACCCTGTGTGTAATCTACTATGTCTTTACCTGCATTTTGGAAGAAGACTGCAGTCTTGAAAATAATTTTATATGTAACACTATGGGGAGCACGTGGTTGCATAGTTGGTTGAGGGGCTATGCTACAAGCCAGAAGGTCGCGGGTTCAAATCCCAAGGAGGTCATTGAATTTTTTTCAATAGACTTTATCCTTCCAGCTGCACTATGGCCCTGGGTTTGACTCAGTCTCTAACAGAAATATGTACCAGGAATTAATTAAATAACTTTCCTGCGGAGTAAAGCACGGCCAGAGTGTAAGGCTGACAACCTCAATGCCGTCTTTGAGCCGACTTTTCTAGATAATGTGGGACCCTCAACGTCTCACAACCCTATGGGCCTTCATGGCATGTTACAGGGATAGCTTTGCTTAATTGCTTAGTTTCATATTACTTAGTGCTCCCCTCTAGGTTCTGTGATCTTAATATATAAACTATTATTGCATATAAATCCCTTTCAACAAACTGACTTGCTTTCAAGATGACACAAGTGACTTTAGGGAAGTAGAAAATTTGTTGGTGAATATATATCTTTAAGTTGCTTAAGACTTCTCTCTGACCACACAATAGTATTTAAGATGGAAGGATTTTATTTCAATTATTTTAGTTCCTGATGTAAATATTTTATAAATTCATTCTGTCTTAAAAATAAAAACATGAATGCCAGGTTCCCCCCCTCTTCCCATCCCACATGCTGGTGCCCATATCAAGATTTTATTTTAATTTTAGTTTCTGGTGTAAATATTTTACAGTTTCATTCTGTCGGAATAAAACAGATGAATGACAGGTCCCCCCTCCTCCCATCCCACATGCTGGCACCAGTATCAGGATTTTATTTTAATTATTTTAGTTTCTGATGTAAATATTTTATAATTTCATTCTGTCTTAAAAATAAAACATGAATGCTAGGTCCCCCTGCCCCCATTCCTCCCATCCCACATGCTGGCACCTGTATCAGGATTTTATTTTAATTTTAATTTTAGTTTCTGATGTAAATGTTTTATAATTTCATTCTGTCTTAAAAACAAAACATGAATGCCAGGTCCACCTTCCTCTCATCCCACATGCTGGCGCCCATATCAAGATGATATTTTAGTTTCTGATGTAAATATTTTACAATTTCATTCTGTCCTAAAAGTAAAACATGAATGACAGGTCCCCCCCGCCCCCTTCCTCTCATCCCACATGCTGGCGCCCATATCAAGATTTTATTTTAATTTTGGTTTCTGTTGTAAATATTTTACAATATCATTCTGTCTGAATAAAACAGATGAATGACAGTCCCCCCCCCTTCCTCCTGTCCATCATGCTGGTGCCCATGCCATGTGCAGGTGTGTTACAACTTAATAAAATTGTCTCCACACCTGCAAGCCAGAGACTGATCTACAATATCACTACTGGTTGTACAGGAACGTCGTATGTTCATAAGATTGTAATATTTTTGTAATCATGATTAATAATTGAACCAAAGTAGTACTCTGCGTCTTCAGACTGGTAGCAAGTTGATAGCCCACATGTACGAGGAATGTTCTCAAATGTATTAGTCTGATGCCTTCTTTGTGTGAAGAAGAAAGTTGGGGTGCACCAAGTCTTTAAATATGTTAAAAAATGTCTGAAGTTAAAATTGAAATATAGGTGGAGCGTAATTGGTCTGTGTATCAATATATATATTACTACTAAATATTGTCCACTTTATTTTGCCCTTAAATAAATGAAATCAGTTACTCCATGGAGTTGATGTAGTAGTTTCTCAGCTATTCATTAAGGGGTGGTGTGACAACCTGACCCGGCTCCGTATTTTGAGAGAGGAGTACCCTTCAGATCTTAAGTCATTTTAATATCAACTTCCAGTCCACATTCAGGTCTACAGAAATGGGTGTATATGCAAAGTCCATGGCAGCCTTTGACGTTTGCAATGATAAAATGGCGATGAATGGATATTAGAGCAATTCATTCTGGAATTTTTTTTCCAGTCTGTAAAATTAGCCATTCTTCATAAAACCTTTTCCTGACTCCCCTAACTTTGGATAGGAGAAGTTTGCTGAGCACATTTGTTGTGTATGCATCCAACCTGCAGTTTCAGTCAAGGAAAGATATAGTGACGATCTGATTTCTACCATGTAAAAGGCAAAGTTATACCTGTGATTGAATAAGCATTATGTCATGAAGGCGTGTGAGGAAGTGGATGTGCAGATCCACATTTTGATGATATATTTTAGCGTCCTGTTGCACTGATTTTCATCCATTATATGTATACAGTGGCCGTCTTTTAGTGCACTCAATTTCACCTGTCACTTCACAACATGTTTCGGCAACATTGTGCCATCATCAGGTGTCCCAATTACGTCAATCTATTGCATTGCCTGCCCTCATATATTTTCACAACACCATTTAAAAAGTCTGTGTGAGTGTTGTGATTACAACACTCGCAGCTAAGAAGAGAACACACATCATAAGACGCGGTTTACACAGAAAATAAGAGAAAGGACCCCGTAGTGAACGAACCACATGCAAGTTTTAATTAAGACATAAGATGAATTATCTTAAGTTTTAGCGAGTGTAAATTTATCATAATTGACAAATACGTACTTTTTAAATAATTTTTAAATGGTGCTGTGAAAATATATGAGGGCAGGCAATGCAATAGATTGACGTAATTGGGACACCCGATGATGGCACTATGTTGCCGAAGCATGTTGTGAAGTGACAGGTGAAAATGAGTGCACTACAAGACAGCCACTGTATACATATAATGGACCACATTTTGATATCTGCACCAGCTGGAGGTCAGTGGTCAGCTTCACGCCTCTGATGAAAGCCCATTGTATAGGAGGTTGAGTGGACTCGAGAGCTGGTCCGTCCACCCTGTAGCCAGTCTCTCTACAGACTGCTAACCCGGCTTATCAGTTCCTACCATGTTACAACAACAAATTTTCAAAGCTGATAAAATCCGTGAAAATGAGATACTAATATATTTAGGTCTGGGTATGCAATACCACGCTATAGCTCAAAACGACATCCGAATGAGTATCCTGAGTTCAAAACCCAGCCGTCCGAATTTAGGAATAGTAGTAGCTTTATGTATTTTAAATATACGCGATTTGTAGCCTGACTACGTCTGTTGGTAAGATCACAAAAGAAATTTGCTTTCAAGTTTCGTGCAGACTGCTGTTTCAAACTTACATCAGGGTTGCCAGTGTATGTGGTGAGATTTCTTTTTGAGATCAAGAGCAATGCAAGTCATCGTTTAGGCTGCTCATTACGGAATATGAAACAATTCATGATTCAGAATGATTGGCAGCACATTCGTTTGGTAATATTTTCCAACTTTACAATCGGAATGTGTGCTGTTATGACTAAAATTAAGATTGATTTCAGTGTGACCAACAAAGACGCTACAACGGCGATGTTTCAACGAACATTTTAGACTGCGTCGGTTTGTGCACCCTGTGGCTTAGAACGTACTTTTGAATGTCACTGCAACGCATTTTGCTTAACAGTAATTATGACTGAAATGTATATTCAAGATATAATAATGTCACTGTGCTTAATTAAGCACTACAGCATGAAGGCGTATGGGGGTGGAAGTACAGAGCCACGTTTTCGTGACCTCTGCATTGGAGGTGAGTGGTGGGCTTCACGACCCAACCGCTG